AATATTCATATGTGTAAAAAAAAAAATCTTTAAGAATAAGGGGTGGGAGATCAACACATTCTTAGATGAAAGAAAACTAATACATTTTCACTAATGGACCTCCCTTGAAAGAATAGCTAAATGTGGCTCTCTAAACAGAAAGGAAATAATAAGAAATCTTGGAATATCAGAGAGAAAGAAATTTATGTTTCACAGTTGAAACAAATTATAGTACCGGATATAAGGAAATATTAAGACAGTTCTACTAAAAATGAAGAGGGCAAAGGGAAATAAAGGGAGGAAAGGTTTCTAGTATATATTTAGACTGGGTGTCAACACTAATTGGTTATAAGTTACACATATGTATAATGTAATATGTACAATAATAACTAAAAAGCTATATCAAGATAGACACTCAGAAACATTCTAAGTAAATAAAAATGAAATTCCAAATAATGTTGAAGCAACTAAGAGGAAGGCAGGAAAAAGTAAACCGAACAAACAACAAAACAATAAAATGGGAGACTTTCACCCTAACATCCCAGTGCTCACATTAAATGGGAATGATCTAAATGCACCAACTAAGGACAGAGATGGATAGAATATATTTTAAAAATGTTTGCCAATTATAAGCTGTCTGCAAGAAACTCACTTCAGACATGATACAGGCATGTCAGGGTACCTAGTTCTTTACTTTTGGAATTTTAACCATGAATATGCATTCGTTTTTCAATTTGTTGTTTAAAGTGTATACTGCAACCACAAAAAGGCAATGAATTCCGCTCTGGGAAGGAGAAGTACATCAGGAAAGGCTACAGAAGCGTGATCAGCAAAGTGACAAAGAAAGGCTCAAGGGGAAAGAGATGGAAAGGGCCAGAAGGAAATGATTCCATGCAGATGGAAGAGCACAAATACATAGCGGGGCTCAGCCTGTGTGGGAGAGGGAGCTTGTTTTTGACTTCTGCTCACCTTCTCTTCTAAGAGATATTGCCGATCAAATTCTAAGGAGTAAAACTCCACTGGAAAGTTGCAGGGATTCTTCACTGTCACCTCGGCCTCATCTCCAGAGGCGAGAGGCAGCAGTGGTCCCAGTTCCAGAACTGAAGGGCTGAATTCCAGGTGTGGTTCCAGACCTTGCCCATGTACCAGCAGTGTAAGCTTTTGAGCACTCTGGGCAATCTGGAACATCAGGGTTTGGCTGTAGAATTTCTGGAAAACATGAAAATAGAACAAGCATCTGTACTCATTCTTGTTACATGCCATGAAAAACCGAAAAACCAGTAAGGGGTAAAAGCTTATCCTATTTAGATGAGAGAGATTGAAAACTTTTCTTATAAAGGAGCATGGGAGCAATTGCTACCACTGGGCATTTAGATGCTGGGTATCCAGCACTGTACCAAGAGCTTCATCACTTGTAGCAGGTCCTCTGAGTGTGTCCTCATGGCACTTTGAGCTTGTATGCTCAGACTTCTGACTGTCACTATCTGTACCTCTCATCTTATGGGCCATGCTGCGATGGGCACTGAAGTGCCGAGGAAGTAAAAGCTTCTGGGAGCGGTCCTCTACCAATGACTCACAGGAGTCTGTATAAATATCTTAGTTTCCTTGCTCACTGGGAGAGATGATTCTGAAGTGAGCACTTTTATATTTCCACCCCAAATCTGGCAGAATGCAGAGCAGGGACATTCAGTCCAGCTGATATAATCAGATGCTGGGAGATAGTGATACATAGTTACTCACATGGTTTCTCAGAGCAGAAATCTACTTTCCATTTTGTGGTTCCTAATCTGCTTTTACTAGGGAAACCACTAGATTCACAGGCCCATCCCTAGAAAATCTGGCTCCCTAGGGGGCAGAGCAAGGCTGGGGTTCTGCATTTTAAACCAAATTTTCAGGTCATTCTGAGATAGCATGGCCTGAGTTTGGAGGCTTGAGAGGCTTCCCAACTTGAATTGCTCCTAAACTATCTTAGCTTAGGGGAAAAATCAGATGGATCTAATGTATATGGACATGGCTACACATACAGAAAAATATCTATGTTGGAGACAATAAGAGAATGAATTATTGGCTAAGAGAATGTAGCTATGGGCTCAGAAACCTTATGACTCAAACTTCTATATTTTGACTGCTATTTATGAAAATCTTTCTTGAATGTTTCATTTACCTCCTTGTTTTCCAGCCTGGTGTATTCTGCATGCATGTCCCTACGTCTAAGAGTTGCTAGTGTGAACATCAGTGCTATCTCCGTGCTGCTGATGTTGAAGATACAGGTGCAGAATGTACAGGTTTCAGGGCTAACCCATTCCTTGTATATAGCCAGTAAGTTCTCCCGATTGGTAGAAGTATTTTATTAACTTTGACCAATTCACTTTAAAGATTTGTGGACCTATTTGAACAAATAAATTTTGGGGGTCTATATCTGCTGATATTTCCCTCATTTGGTAATGAAAAGAAAATCCAAACTTTTGATTATACCCATTTACAGTCTCAAGGACTCTCTAGGAATGACAAATGTATTACTGATTTTCTTTTAAAAGGGTTTGGGGGATTTTGATAAAGATGGGAACATGGGCTTTCTTGAAGAATGAGATAAGAAGTCATTCACTTTTCCTTTTTTCTTATTGAAGATTCTGAAGCATTTCCTCAAAGACATTACCAGGAAAGTGGGTGTTCATCATGTGTACTCTATAAAATTCACATTGTTTTTTCTTTTAAAAGAATAGAGGAAAACACCTCTCAAATGCTAGGCTTTGCATAAAATTCTTTACAATATAACTTCTTGAGATCCTCTCTGTTTCTAGGAGTTTTTAAATTTTTGCTGTGCTGTTGGTCAGGAGTAGCTTTGTGCTCATCGTGTTTATAAAAGAAATGTTTATGAGGCTCAGGGAGACAGCCCACTAGGAAGTGCTTACCCGCATGACTACTGATGGTAAGAATTAATAGTTTCTGAGACACTTGCTATACATAGAGCAGCAGGCTGTGTGTTTTATTTAATGCTATTAATCTCCAAAATGATCCAGAGGTAGCTATTGCAGGTCAACAACAATTTGTCTGAAACTACAGGGGCCAGATGTTTCCAAAATCAGATTTTTAAAAAGGCAAACACTGTGCATATACTTTATGTTGCCTGATGCCCCCTGCAGAGTCTCAGGAAAGCCTTCTGTAATCACACACATTCATAGTTCTGCAGTTGCAGTATTTGACTCTGAAAACTAAGTGGGATAAGTAAAAGCAAAATAGCCTACTGTCTGTTCAGATAAGATTTTCTGCCAAGTAAGTTTTGATTTAAAACTTATGAAATCTCCCCCCCCCCGAGCTTAAGGGGCTTATTGGATTTCAGAATTGCAATAAGGGATTTTAGATGTGTAATATTATTACTTTTTATATTATCTATGAGCAAACTGAGGCTTGGGGAGGCTAAGTAATTTGCTCAGATGCACAGCCTGTAAGCACAGAGGGAGAAGGCCACTAACCCACCGCTGCTGATAAAACTTGATGTGTTAGTTAGATCTGCTGATTCTCACCCACCAGGTGCCCAGTGCCTATGTGAAGCAGAATCACTGGAGATGCCATATTCAGAATAGTGAGGCACAGCACACAGAAATGTTCTCTTGAGACTCAAGCTAGCATGGACTGAGTAAAGCTTAAAGAGATTCAGAGAATTTCCACCAAGCCACATTTCTTTCAAGCTTACCTCTTCTTTTGGCATGAATTTCACTTGCACATTGGCCATCTCATCAGGATCCAAGATTCCAGACGTGGGCTGGATCTCAAAGATCTGAGACTTTGGCTTTAATTCAGCATGTAGTTTCCGTCTTAAATATTTTGGCATGTGTTTCTCCAGCTGGTTTATAAATTTTAGGCAATTAGATCATCATCGTTGGAGAATGGACTCATCCCATTCTACACTCACAGAACCTATATTTTTTGAGCATCTTTCAGGTGACAGGGAATGTGTAGATACCAGAGATACAAAGGTGACTAAGACATTCTACCTAACAGCATGGCCTGGTAGAGTCTTGAATGCTGGGGTAAGGGCCTGGGCAATGGATACCACAGAAATTCTTTGAACAGGAGACTGAGGTGATCACAGGAATGGCTGCGAAGGGGATGGGTAGGTAACAACTCTTTTACCTTGTTAATAGGCTTAGGACTGTGGACAAACCATTCACAAGGTACTTGGAGATGATTGGAGAGCTGAATCGTTTCCACCATGCACTGTCCACACTGAATTGCAGCAAATTCCACTTTTCCACAAGACAGCGTCATGGCAGGGACAATCACCTTAGCTCGGAGACAGATGTGAACTGTTGGCCCTCCAACCACCTGGAGTGGACATAAAATTGCTGTTATCATGTGGCACAGGGCTGAGGGAAGATCATGGCTCTGATATAATATAAGGATCATCCCAGGGGCGATTGGCCAGGAGAGCTGCAGACCTCGGGGGCCAGGGGGGCCCGGTGGTGCACTTTACCTTGATGGGCAGCAGGATTTCTTTGCTTCCCACGGGAAGATTAGCCCCTTGTGGGTCAAATCTAATTTCAAATGTTTCTGTTTCATAGTACGGCAGATTCTTTACACGATCTAGCTCAGTACTGAAGCCTGGAGTGAGGCAAAAAAACATTTCTCTGTGAGAAAGGGAGCAGCAAACAGGAGCAGCTCTACATAGCTCTCTGCTCTGGGGCAGGATGATCAGTCAGTGTTTCACTGAACAGTCAAACAAGTCCTTCAGCTGATTGCTGCTCCAGAAGGATGGGACAGATGGGTGGCTTCCTTGTTGGAAATGCCAAAGTACAACGGGAAAGAGTTCCCCCAACCTGGTTACCTGTGTCACGAAGGACACGCTTTTCTGCATGGAAGGACACTGGGAAGTGACTGGTGTTGGTGATCTTGATGATATGGGTTTGCACGTCCCCAAGGACAATGTAGCCAAAGTCCAGGATATATTCTGGCAGCTGGACTCTGAAACAGTGAGCAGGATCTCCTTAGTAGTCACTTTCAAGCCTGGAGGGCTACCTTTCCCGAAGAGAGAGTGTGAGGTTCTTTCCTATCGCCTGTGCACAATTTTGTTCTCCAGACTGCAGAACAACCAAAGGCCACTAGGATAGATATTAGAAACAACAAACTTTCCTTGGAAGTTCACATGTCTGTCTTCGCCATCACCTCAGAACACACTCAGTGTGGGCCCTCATGGACCTGAAACAGAGCCTGACCATTAGTTATACAGCTGGAGTCTTCTGACTTCAACTGCCTGGTTGGCTCGATGCTAGGGGATGGCAGATAACATGAGGCTGGTGGATTTCATTCCAAGATGACCAGTCATTATTTCAGGGGATACTCTGCCACACTCTGAAACAAACACAACACAGGAGGGTGCTCACTTGGCTAGTTTGCGGCGACTCCAGTGGCTGAAACAGGTGTTCTCTGTGGGATCGGGGATAACTGTTTTCTGATGTTCTAGTGCATAGGCTTGGATGATAAGTTGGTCTACTTTCATCTGGAGATAAGCACTTAACTGGAGAGAGAGAGGAGAGCAATTCAGCAAATTGTTCTCGAACATGAATTCCTGATGGGAAAATATTACTACTCAGTGATCAAAATTGGTTCTTGTAGGGAGTAAAAAACAAAAAAAATCTTAGCTATTTACAATGGATTGGAGTCCTCCAAAAGGTGTCAGTATCTAAACAGATATGTAGAATATTTAAGGTATTAACATGTTCATGAGCACGGGGAATACGGAGTACTTACTACTCATCAAGAAAAAGGAAGGAACTATCATGTACAAACAACTTGGATCCATCTCAAGAGTGTTATGCTGAATGAAAAAAAGCCAAGCTCAAAAGGTTACCTGTTATATTATTCCATTTATATGACATTTTTTTCTTTTGCACTGGGGATCAAACTCGGATTTTGTGCTTTCAAGGCAGGCCCTGGAACCACTGAGGTAAATCCCTGGCCCCTATATGACATTTTTGAAATAACAAAAATATAGTGATGAATAACAGATTAGTGGTTGCCAGGGTAAAGGATGTGGAGAGACAATAGTGGAGGTAGCTACAAAGATGTAGCATGTTAATGTAAACACAAATTAAGAGGCACAATTCTTGTTGAAAATTAGGGAAGAGTCTTTTCTCTTGTTTTTTTTTCTTAGGGCATTTACTTTAGAAAAGTAATTTTTAGAAAATGTAGTTTAAGTTATTTCTATCTCTTTAAAATGTATATAAATCTTTTTAAAGGCCCTGAAATGTCTTTCTCAGTGACTTTCATGAGGACCTGGGAGTCAGCTCCTTGAAATGCAATCAGCAAGGAAGATGGAGGTCCTATCTCCCAGTTTTTGTGGGAGAACAGGCACATAACTTTCATGAGATCTGGGTGAAAGAAGCTTTTTTTCCTCAGGATAAAGCCAATTAGCTTACACAGGGGGTCATCATAATTATCATGTGAGTTTAGGATAAACTATGTGGGACAAATGATGCTGTCAAGTCCCCTTGCTTGAGGACTAGTTATTGTTTCTGTGAGAACATGGTTTGTCATGGGTTGAATCTGGCTGGCTATAGAAAAGGCTAAGCCCTCTTTCTATCTTTGCAATCTCTCAGTAGGGTGTCTGTCATACAAATCACATTCTGGTTTAATGCTCATTAAATGATAAAATTGTTTTCTTCATCTTTTATCTTTGTGGGGGGATTTTTTTTTTTAAGTTGGAAGGACATTTTGGTTTTAATTCTATTTCCCCAAGAAATACACGGAGCCTGTGTGTGATGAAATAGTTCTGTATTTTAACTATGGTGGTGGTTAAATAAATCTACACAGGTGATATAATTGCTCAGGACTACACATACATGCATATATAACTAATGAAGTCTAAGTAAGTTTTCTGTCTTGTCCCAATGTCAATTTCCTGGTTTTGATAATGTTCTAGACATTACCACTGGAAAGACATTTGTTTGCAACTACCTGTGAATTTATAATTATTTTAAAAGTTTAAAAATATCAAAGTATTGAAAGAGTATTTTATTTTGTATATAATGAAGATATTTCATGGATGACTTTAGGAAAAAAATATCTAAAAGTGGTTTTAAGGTCGTGATCGGGTTTGATAATGAAAAAGCTTGAAAAATACTCTGAGAAGGACCAAACCTTAATCCATGGTCCAGCAGGGAAGGGTAACATGTGATATGATGCACAATGAGACAACAGGGAGCAAGGGCGAGAGCTGTTTAGATGCTAGAACAGCAAAGCCAGCCCAGTGCTTGGCTTCTGAGCCGGGAGTGGTGGACCTGGGCCTTCCTCGGGAAGACTAGCTTGGCTCTTCAGGTGCCATCAAATTAACAGAAATCCAAATCTAGTTCAGAGCCACTGCCAGAGGCAACTATCTTAAGATCCAGTGGGGAGCACCCTGGGAAGGTGATTAGCAGGGGACACAGTGCTGCTCCTCAGGGACAGCCAGAATAAACCTCTCCTCCTTTAAGGTGCAGGAGTCAGGCATTGTATCTCAGTGATGGGAAAGCTGACTAATACATTCCCCATTTTAGAACTTCCTCTTGACCAGTCTAAGGGCTCTCTAGCTACATATATCATTCTTCCATGGATAAGTCCCACATATGTTTGCATTTAAAAATCAGTGCACAGGGAGTGAGCAGCCTTCCAGATGAGGAACAGACTGCTGCAAAAGAATTTCAGAGGATGGTGATGTAGAACATTTTGCTTTCCTATGCTACTTCATAGTGCAGCCTTTATTTACAAGCTGCTCCATGTCCTCCCTCCAATGACCACATTTTGGCATGGCTCCCACTCTGTGGCACTATGTGATCCCAATTTTTCCCAAAGTTTTTTGGCTGCCCTTCTTCCCCACTCAGGGGTTGGTGTACTGGAGGGGTCCATTCTTTTTTATTAAAATAT